CCAAAAGCGGATAACTATTGTGGACCGCGTCCGTTTTCCGAACCAGAAGCTCGAGTACTGGCAGACTTCATAACTGAGAAGAAACAGAACCTACGTTTTTACTTTTCCTTTCATGCGTATGGACAAAAACTTATAATACCTTATGCGGATAGAATAAACCATATCGACAATTATGGTGAAATGGTTGGTATATATTTTATACTGTAATATGGCGTTAGGTACTTTCGGAATTGAGTCAGAGAGGGACACAAAAATTTAACCGAATGCCCAATTATTCCGCAATCTCCCCAATCCCTGAATCTTCAATAATCCTGAAATTCTTAATCACCAAAAGGCCCATAACGCACTTTTAACGCCTCTAATGTTTCGGGTGACTATGGGCGGTGCCGATTGCTTACCATCAGGTGATCTGTCGGCTCGTCTACTATATTAATAATAATAAAAATTAAAAAAAAAATGAAAAAGTTAGTGTTACTGGTCAGTTTTGCCAAATGGGTCCAAAAAAAAATATATCGAGGTATCCAAACTGATATTATAACGAATAGAGAACATTTTAGTTTTTCTTGAATTTAAAGTCAGCTTAAGGTATGCAATTTTTACAATCTATTTATCTAAAGATTATTACTTAAGATTGGCGCGAACTTTATTTTGTTTGAATTATTGCTGTTTTATATCTGATAATTTTTATGTCTAGACGATGAATTGAAGGTCAAATTTATTTTTTACCAATTGTTCCTTAATAGTCTCAAGGTCATTCGTGCAGCAATTGCGTTTTGGGAATTTCAAAATCCAAAAATATTTTCGGTTTTTAGTATACCTATTTCATTAGTACCGAATAAAGTAGCACTCTTCCTCTGTGACTCGAAACACGTGCAGCCTACTGCCTGTTGACCCTTTATGACTCTATACTGGTAGAGCTTTTCTCAGTATATTTACGTGGGTAAAGTGTTATTTTTAAGACTTTGACTGCCAATAAAAACTGTTGATGGTAAATCCTCCGCTAACGCCGGTTACCGGTGACCCCCATGGCGTTTAACGGGTTAATTAACTTAGTATGTGTCAAGATAGTTACCATAAGTGCCTATTTCATTTCATCACCATTTTGTGTATCATCAGCTCCTTCCCTTATACTTCATCTTTTTTTTTCAGGAAAATTTTGGTAAACAGGCAATATTGAAGATGTACAAAATGTACGGCACAAAATACGGTATCGGCACAACTTACGATACTTTGGGTGAGTTCGAAAATGACCTTTATTATCATCGTTATAAAGTATGAATTTTATTTTTTTGCTTATACACATGAATTATACCTTTTTTCCTGTATCAGGCCTACGTATTTCCGGCAACAGTGCCAGTTGGGTGAAGAGAACTCACGGCGTGAGGTAATATCCGTTTTTTATGAAAGGATTGTATTATATTTTTGTTTTATATTTCGGAGATTATTATATTGAGCTTGGGGAAAATACTTCGATATTATAGGGGAAAATTTAGTAAGAAAAATATATATTTAAAGCCATAGAAATAAATGGTTTGTAAGATAGTTTTGTTTGACTAAGACATAAGTATTAATGCAGTCAACCATAATAGATGCATTGAGCTAAATCAAGTTAAACTTCTAAATAAGTCAGGTGTTAACGCTGACATAATCAAACGTCCTCTCGCGTGTTTCTCGTACACACGTACGAGAGAGTTGAGTGCCCATCGCGCAATTGTACACACGGGTGTACGAGAAACGCGCACCGATTGGATATTTTTTCTGTGACGTACTTATATTTTCTAGTTTGCAATCCTTTCTTTATTTGATTGAACAGAATAGTTAATTCGCTTTTCTATTAAAATATTTACCCGCGTGTACGAGAGGCGCGCGAGAGGTTAGCGCGAGCTACAAATTCTTTGTATAATGACAGAGATGGCACGATATTTAAGTACAACTAAAAATTTAGTAGCCTTTCAGTATTCGAGCGTTGGTCTCATGCTATTCATTATAGGTAGATCTATTATAGGTAGATATATGAATAAAATTCACTACTTTTATACTACGCGTACCTCCATACCTCAAAGGTTACCTGAAGTCAAGATTCATGGCAAAAGGAGGATCACAAGACGTCGTCGATTATGGTTGAAGGACGAAGATAAATTGTAAGACTGGAATAAAATTCTTACGCCATATACCACCCTGACTGTACGGTTGTCGCGGCTAGGCTGGGCAGGGCTGAAATCGATTACCTAGTATTTTTTTAATGGGACAAGCCCGCCGCAACCTCTCAAGACCGCTGCAACTCCTGTAAGCCAGGATCTACAGTAGATAAAACATACAATCGATTCCCTTACGGAACACATCTTTGTGTGGTCCACAAATTGTTGTTCCGGGTCTGGGTGTCATGTGTATGTAAACTTGTATGTTTGTAAACGCACCCACGATACGGGAGAAAGTCATAATGGAGGGTAACGGTTTAAAAAAAAAAACAAATAAATTTTACAACATTGGATTTTATTATTACGACGCTTACAAAGACTGCTTTGTTAGCCGAGTGGTCGCAAGTGCGATCTCGGTCTTACCACTAAGTGACAAGTGCTCAATTGAAACATGCTTTCGTGCTTGAGATTAGCATGCGTAATAGTAACTTAATGGTCCACAGAAATTTTTATCTTCCTGTAGCATTTCTACATCAACATCTTTGTTCTCAGATACGTCTTTACGTTCCTTCTTCGAGACGAAGGGACTTATGGCTTCGCGCTCCCTCCTAACCAAATCTTACCAACGTGTGAAGAAACCGTCTCAGGTCTAACAGAATTAATGGTCGCCAAGCCTAGAAGAGTCAGGTTGAACTTCATCAACAAGGCTCAGAAGCCGGCCTCAGTTACTTTCATATTATTTTGTACCACTTATTTTATTTTACTTTTAAAATGAACAGTTTTTTATTCTATCGTTTTGTTTTTTTTATGACAAATATTTTATGGAAATCAAGACTCTAAAAATGAAAAATAATTGACATAGCTAGTAACAAAAGCAGCAATCTGGTATTTGCTTAGAATCAAATCCAGCAATATTTAAATGTAAGTATCAAAAACAGCAATCTGAGAAATTCAATCAAAGTTTATAAATTTCTTCTTCATGCAATCTACTCATTTTAATATTAAAATAAAATTCAAAAGTTTATTTTATTTTCCCAAATTAGATCATATATGATAAATTTACCAATTCGATTAATAAATGACACGTATTTTCTTTATTACCACTAATGATTGAAATGTCAGATTGCTGTTTTTGTTTCTATACAACTCTGAGGACAACGTTTTAATGGTCAATAAAAAATACTGAGAGGCGAGTAATTAAGACCACTGACCTTAAGCTTATCCAGATTGTTGAGGTATCTACGTGCAATGTGGCCAGAATAGGTTAGTTCGCTGCAGGCATATGGTGGACAGCCTCGTAGTAATTTCCGATGCTACTAGATACAGTAATATCTACAATCGCGGGTTACTCACGTAAATATTCTGAGAAAAGGTCTACTAGTTTTGAACCACAGACGGGTTCTTCCTCATAAGCAGCGTACGTGGTCGCGGCGACGTCGCGCAGCTCACTGAAGAAACTAGTAGAGCTTTTCTCAGTATATGTACGTGAGTATTCCGCGATTTTAGTTAATTTAGTGTCTCACGATAGTTATTATAAAAACATACTAGATACAGGTCTCTTTAATAATACGCCACTAAGTTCGATCTTTACCACTCGCCCCCAGCCATTGCCATCCACTTTATAAAATCGTCACAACCACACCAAGGCGCGTGGCGTTCCGCACGCACTTCAAAGAGCCAACAGACCACCACAGATGGGACCCAATATGGCTGATGACCGACCTGAAGCTGCGGATAATTAAACAGGTTACCAGGTTTCCGGATCAAAGCAGAAGTAGGAACAGGGTGGTTTTTAGTCAATAGAAGTCTCACACTCCCTCTTACCCCACCCAAGAGAAGTCATAATATGGTTTAACCTTACTCAAATAAATCTTTAAATATATATATATATAAAATTCTCGTGTCACAGTTTTCGTTGCCATACTCCTCCGAAACGGCTTGATCGATTTTGATGATTTTTTTGTGCTTATCCGGTATCTATGAGAATCGGCCAGCATATATTTTTCATCTCCCTAAATTTTACGGGTAGCCAACTCCAAATTTTTGCTTTAAACAAAATTTTTAATTTCTTTTTTTTATGATACAACATACAAAAATACATACAATTCTCAATTTTCACCCTTCTACGAAATTATTTATATGGCAAAACAACGTTTGCCGGGTCAGCATAAAAAGTAGTCTACATTAGCCGTAGCTGATACTAAACATCAAGGGATACAAATCAGTTGGGGTAACGACCCAGGTGGCTGACATTACGGTAACCAAGACGCCTTGACTCGACTATTGGCTAAGTACCAAGGACGGTAACGGATACTTAATTGCTCGAAGACAGAAGACGACTCCTGTGGTTTCATTCTATCAATTTATGGACTTCATTCTGGTACTACGTTTAAATGTAATGGATGGTTGTAATTTGGTTTAAACCTTTTACATTTTTCATTGAAAAATCTTCGTATCTTTCTACATAGGTACTTACTTTTATGTGTATGGTCTTCCTAGAAGGTTAGATAATAAAACATCGAATTAATATTACTTTTTCTATTTAACCCTTTGAGTACCGTCATTATAGACACAATCAAGAACAATAGGTTGCGGTAACCGGTGTCTTCGCAGTGTTTGACAGTTTAATATTTGGTTGATTCTACCTACACCTCTTTAGTTAATCGTGAAGCTACTATTTATATTTAAAACGAACCTTCTTTGGTAAAACTTTTTACTTGGAAATACTTGAAACCGTCATAATGACATAGTATGTTGTAACAAAAACTGTCAAATTATTTAAGGTAAAATGTGAAATCTCAAAGGTCATGAAAAATATACACAATCCACTCACAATTATTTTTATGAACGAAATCGACGAAAATGGATATTAATTTAATATATTTTTTAATTTTCTTTTTTCCTATAACTTTTTGTGATTGTAAAAAGTATTATAATTACACCTTGTACAGGGGTATACCAGTGGAAGCAAAAGATTTAGAATTTTTTCAAAATCTTACACAAGTTGAACATGTAAATTTTTGGAGGGAACCAGGAAGGATGTTCAAGCCCGTGGACTTTGTTGTTGATCCTGAATACAAAGAATTATTTCTAAAAGATGCTAACAATCTCGGACTGTATATTACTACAATAATTGAAGATGTGCAAAAGTGAGTCTTATTGGGTTTTTTGTTTAGAGTTTAGTATCTGTTGTATTAAATAATAATGCTTTTTTAGTGTAGTGGATATTGATTAACTAAAAAGCGCGGGTTACTCTCGTAAATATACTGAGTAAAGCTCTTCTAGTATCGAACCACAGAGGGGCTCTTCTTCTATAACAATGTGCGCGGAAGCAGCCTACTCGGCTCGACATCGCTTCGACACTAATTTAGTATATCCACGATAGTTATAAAAACACAGTGGATATTAGAGGTAAAAATGGGGCAATTTATGTGCATGTGCAATGACCACACGATATTCTCAGTTTTCGTACATGCTCCTCGTATTTGGAAAATAATATAAAAAACTACAATTTTTAATGAAACTAGAAAAATCTAATTATGCACTAATAATCGTGTCAGTGAGTGCTGCCTGTCTCTTGTGACTGCCTCGTTGGCAAAAATCTCAGTAGTAGCACGGAGTCTGGAATTGTGCCCGGTATATGGCAATAGGCTCACCCTCTATTACACTGGACTCATAACATAAATAGAGAAAAGTGGGTGGTTACATTGTACAGTGGCATAATGTACACCTCTGCCTAGCCCTTCGGGGGGTAAAGGCGTGATGTTATGTATGTACTTCAATCTAAAAAAATGTATACAAAATTTATTTATCATTTTCTATATGAGTCACTTCACAGTAATACGCAAGCACTTAAACCTCAATTGCAATCATCTCGAAACCATCTCATAACTAAGAGTTACTTAACATGACGTACCACCTAAATACTCCCTTACTTGTACTGATAGGTGTCACTTACAGATTACTAAAACTAAAATGATGTGAAATGTCACCTACCTTAGCTAATAGGGTTTTTCAAATATAGGAGACGTTGGTGGTGAAAACAGGAATTTAGTAAATTAGTATATTGATGTTAATTTACCTGCACCAGGCACTACTGATTAGAATAGACTAAACAATGTACAAAAATAATTGTCATTATTTCTAGAGCATTCGACACGCAGTCAGTCAAACCGTACATCAGAAGAAATATTGAATCATTCGATTGGAACAATTACTATCGATTAAAAGACATATACGAATGGCTCAGAGATCTGGCAAATACTTATCCTGCAGAAATGAAAGTCACGACCATAGGAAGGTCGAATGAAAACAGAGAAATCTTAGCCGTGGAAATCACTTTAAAAGGGTGTAAAATGAGGTAAAGATTTTATTTTGTTCTGGCTTCTGTGGTATTAGATGAGTAGTCGATAGTGTGGCTACTGAGATGCAGGGTCTATTGTGAGACGCTCATTGTACCATTTATTGATAAATACCGGTTGACTCACGTAAATATTGAGAAAAAGTGTTTTAGTTTCAAGACATAGTTGGACTTTTCTTCGTGAGTAGCGTACATCATTTATTTATTTATTTTTTTAAGGTTTATACAATACAATTGCATAAAGAGGACTTAATGCTAACAGCATTCTCTACCAGTCATCCTTTGGGTTCAATTTTATATTGATTTTGAATTGCGTGCTCTAACTGACAAAGCAGACAGTCTAAATACAAGTTTAATCTCACCGAACCGTCATGTCACCTGCTAAAGTATGAATCTTACTGGCTGGTACTTAAAATCAGCGTGGAATCTATCCTTCGTGCCTGGGCTACAGCATTAAGCTTAACACCGGCATTTTGCAATGCGATGCACCATGTTCTTGTTTTTATTATACCTGTGTTCTTATGTACGTGTATGTCGTTGCGTAATAAACGGGATCTCTTTCTATTTTAACATTTTTCTAAAATTCCAGATCTAAAGTTATAGTAGAAGGAGGTATTCATGCAAGAGAATGGATTTCACCAGCCTTCGTAACATATTTCATTAACGAAATATTGCATGCTCCATATTCTAAAGATGAGGAGTTCAAAGATATAGCCATGACCTATGAATGGTACTTTGTGCCCGTACTGAATCCTGATGGTTATGAGTATAGTCATACAAATGTAAGTTTACTTCTGCTTCCTAAGAGTCTCATCGTCAAAATCTCAAATCTTCCCATGGGTCCCATAGGCAAAGTCGATTAAGAGTAAGTGTGGGAGAGCCATGCTTTGGCACGAATGGGCAGGCTTGACCGCAGAGATACCACGGCCTCACAGAAAACAGACGTGAACAACGCTTGCGTTGTGTTTCGTCGTGTGAGTGAGGTTACCGGAGGCCTAATTACCCCCCTCCCTAGTTCATCAAATCCCTGAATCCTCCACAATCCTCAAATTCCCAATTCCCAAAAGGCCGGTAACACACTTGTAACGCCTTAGTGTTTCGGGTGTCCATGGGCGGCGCCGATTGCTTACCATCAGGTGATCCGTCTGCTCGTTTACCGGCTTATGCTATAAAAAAAGAGAATACATTTGAAAAAGACCAGGAAATAGTGGTCTTTTGTAAACTTGAACTTAAAATATTATGCGATATCTCCTTCTGGACTGAAAGTTTCAAATAAGGAAGATGAAGTTCCTGAAATGAAATTAAAAAAAATTGCGGAAGATTTCCATAAACTATTTATGGTCCCTCCTTTTTTAATCTGAAGAATCTAACAGTACTTGCGTCATTACATTGGTCACTGTCAGAAGTGCTAGTATCTAAATAATATCTAGATTACTAATTGGATTTTTATCATCATTATTATTTATATTTATTTTTAATACTTGCAATTGTCAAAAGCTGGTCGTAAATCCGACACCTATCGTTATTTAGCTATTCTTCTAACCGCATAAGGTTCCCTTAAGCTTCCTTGTTAACTAATAAATTCAGATATGCAAAAAAAAATTGTTCAATAAATTGTTAATAAAATTGTAGATTACACATCACATACATACACATAAACACTGCTCATCACTCAATAATATAGCAGATAATTATGGAATGTAATTTTATACGAGGATTAAATAGTTGGTTAATATTTTTCGTATATTGCATGAGCAGCATTTCGCGACAGACGCCACGTCGCGGGTCGCGAAATGCTGCTCATGAACATGAGCCTCTAGTATGGCTTGAAATTAGTCGAGTTCCTCGTCAAATAATTACGTGAGTAAGCCGAAAACATAATAATATATTTAGTATGTCTCACGAAAGTAATAATACTAATATTTTTCGTTCCAGGATCGTATGTGGAGAAAAAACCGAAACCAATTAGGTAGTGTGGATTTGAATCGAAACTTCGACCATGCGTTTGGTAGTACGTAAATTATTATTTTTAAAGTAATACGATCATGGTTGGTGCAGTGACCGAGCGATCGACTGAGCTGAACATATCTTGAGCACACTTTAGTTACCCTTAGTTCGGTCACTGGAACAACTATAAAGTGAAATATTTTTTTTCTTTTCTGACTGCCTCGTTGGCCGAGTCGTCGCAAGTGCGACTGCTGGGCAAGAGGTCTCCGGTTCGATTCCCGGGTCGGGCAAAGTATTACTGGGTTTTTAAAAATCTCAGTAGTAGCACGGAGTCTGGAAATGTGCCCGGTATATGGCAATAGGCTAACCCCCTATTACATGGGACTTATAACATAAATAGTGAAAAGTGGGTGTTACATTGTTCAGTGGCATAATGTGCACCTCTGCCTAACCCCTTCGGGGATAAAAGGCGTGATGTTATGTTATGAATTTTATCTTTTGTAAAATATACACACAATTTTTTTATTTTCTTTAGCAACTGGAGTAAGTTTCAGGATGAGTTCTGAAACTTTCTGTGGACTTAGTGCTTTTTCTGAACCTGAAAGCCAGGCAATGGCATCGTTTGTTGAATCAAAAAGTCATCAGTTGGAATATTATTTCGCTTTCCACTCCTATGGTCAGTACATGATCATGCCGTACGCCAACATGAAGATGCATGTAGAAAACTTTGATGATGTGGTTAGTTTTAGTTATATTATCGTTTTATTTTAATTGACCAGGCAGGTAAACTATCCTATTGACTAAAAACTGATACCTCTTTGAGGCATGTCCGAAACGCGACGCGCCGTACGCTCAGGTTTAGTTCTGGTAAGTAAGGTTTACTCACTACCGCGAGGGTCTCCTGCGAGGGCTGGGGCGTGAGAAGGTCCTTCTTTAGGAAGTATACAACCACAGTAATCTTATATGTATTTAAAAAATATTTATCTTATTTATGTAAATTTTTCCAGTACAAAATGTGCTTAGAAGCTAAAACAAAAATTGCGAAAAGATATAACACGGCGTACACTGTTGGTACAGCGTATGATACTGTTGGTGAGTTTTCTTTTTGTGTAATAACTATTATGAAACACATGAGAGCCATGCATCGCCTCGCCTGGACCAGCTCAATCGGAGTGATACCACGTACTCACAGAAAATCCACGTGAAACAAAGCTTAATGTTGTATTTCGCTGACTGAGTTAGGTTATTGGAATTCCTACTTCCCCAAAAATAAAGTAATGCATATAACTTCTCTGGGCTCTCATGTTGTTGTCCATTAGTGACTCCAATTATTTAGAATCTGGTGTACTACTCATCTCATAAAAAACTCATTCATTGGCGACTAAGATAAGAACTGAGTTATGCTATGTTAATAATTTAAACTGTCAAACACCACGAGGACACCGGTGACCGCAACCTATTGTTCTTTAATTGTGTCTATAATGACGGTACTCAAAGAGTTAAACTGTCAAACACCGCGAGGACACCGGTGACCGCAACCTATTGTTCTTTAATTGTGTCTATAATGACAATGATTTTTTAATCATTCATTTTTTAATCGTTCATTATCCATATGAACACTTATAAACCGTTCGCAAAATATTATTTACTCACGTGAACTAGTCAAGTAAAGGCCTACTCGTTTCAAGCCGAATAAACACACAGTCAGCCCCGGTGTGTGTTGAAACAGAGTTGTTTTTTAGAAAATATTACCTAAATTAGACTGCCTCGTTGGCCGAGTGGGCCTTAGTGCCACTGCCGGGCAAGGGGTCTTGGGTCAATATTCCCGGGTCGGGTAAAGTATTACTGGGTTTTCCAAATTCTCAGTAGTAGCACGTAGTCTGGAAATGTGCCCGGTATATAGCAATAGTTTCACCCCCTATTACATAGGACTCGTAGTATTAATAGTGATAAGGGAGTATAACATTGTACAGTGGCATTAGTAGTGCCTCTGCCTACCCCTACGGGGATAAAAGACATGATATAGATTTGGAGCTTAATTTTAATTATGTCTTCTATTAAAGTTAGCCAAATACTGTAATGTTAAAAACGATTTATTCATAGATTAGTGTAAATTAATTAATCCTTTTTCTGTTATTATAGGCTACATGACGTCTGGAGTTAGCGGTTGCTGGGTAAAAGCTAATCTCAGAGTTCCGTAAGTAAAATATTTTAATAATTTAAGACTATATCTTTACAGTACATCTTCTATTTGGATGCCTTTTTTATATATCTTGTATAAGCCGGTAAATGAGCACACGGATCACCTGATAGTAAGCAATCGTCGCCGCCCATGGTCACCTGAAACACCGAGGCGTTTCCAGTGCGTTACCGGCCTTTTGGGAATTGGGAATTTGAGGATTGTGGAGGATTCGGGCATTCGGTAGACGGGGACTAGGGAGGGGGGTATTTGGGCCTAGGGTAACCTCACTCACACGACGAAATACAACGCAAGCGTTGTTTCACGTCGGATTTTTGAGAGGCCGTGGTATTACTCCGATCGAGCCGGCCTATTCGTGCCGAAGCATGGCTCTCCCACACTTAAGCAGTCGTTTGTCATTCAAGCGGAAGTTCGGGAGTTACTTTTGAAGAGATTGGCAGAGTCGTAACTATTAATATACCTACTATGTATAAAGTACTTTAATTGACCAGGTAAGTATTTCTAAGTAGTATATGTAATATAATTATGGAAGTTTATTGTTGCGCCATATGCATGTTACTTTATATAGGGATTTATTTTATGTAAGTCTATACTATTCTTTTTTATGTATTATTAGTATTATCTCTTGTTCATTGTTCTTATATACGCTTGCTTCTTGCATCGACCATTGTTTTTGTCTCTGCATCACCCAAAGGTCTGGCTGGAGGAAAATGCCCATGGCATTAAGCCCACCCTGTACGGTCAAAGGTCAAAAGTCCACTGCCACCGTAAGACTACTATCGGTTTCGCTGCAGCGCTTATACACACATGCACACGCATATTTTTATCCGTGTGCGTACGCGTGCGTGTATTTATGTGTACGCACGCGTGCACATTAATATGAAATTATTTACTTACGCATTGCCGTGTGAACATCACTCACGGTGGCAGTGGACTTTTGACCTTTGACTGTACATTAGTGTGTGCATGAAGTCCTTTAAAATTAAAATAAAAAGTATATTACGTAATTTATTTATTTATTTATTTATTTATAAGCACATGTATAACTTTACAGCACAAGCCAAAACATTATACAGTTAAATAATAATAAAAATGTTACTTATTTACTATTTTACACTTATGTGATATGTATCTTATATAAAAAAGTACAATAATTATAATTACTTAAAACTAATTCATCAGCCGTCCATCTTCTCACAAAATCTTACACATTCACGACATACATCCTTCCATCTCGCTGCGAACAAATCACACTCTGGTGCGGATGCCAGGAAAGCATTGATCATCGTTAATGCTCGAACAAGCGGAGAATTTGCATGCGCGACTGTTCGCGTTACTGGGACAGCCAGTAAGGGGTGCCTACGTGGCCTAAGCTGATGCTTCAGTAATGGTTTTCTTTTTCCAGGTACGTAGTCACTTTCGAGCTACGAGACACTGGTTATCACGGCTTTGCATTACCTCCAGGAAAGATTCAACCAACTTGTCTAGAAACGATGGATGGAGTGATTTCTCTTCTAAAACCTCAAACAAAGGCGTATGCCAGATTGGAAGGGAAATATAATTACGATTCAGGTGCCATATTTATTTTAGATAAAATTATTTTAGTTTTTAATGTGTTGTTATTTATTATAGTGCGTTTTGACTAACTTATGTTTTATTTTTCATTATTGTCATGGAAAATAATCGGTTTTTACGAAAAATAATCGATCGTGTTAGCCCATTGAATTATGAGAATTTGGTTAGGTAGGTTATTCGAGTCAATATTATGAAAACTTAATAATATAATTGTTCGGGGATCTGTAACAGATCTTTGACTTATGAAAAAGATTTTTATATACAGTAACCTTAAAAACTTGGCCGATGCCGATTCAGAGTCGCGGAGAACCTAACGGATACACCGGGTCTCCTGCTCGACGAGCAGGAGAAGGAACGAGGTGGTTTTTAAGTCAGTAAGAGTCTGACACTCCCTCCCGCCTCACCCAGACGGGAGCAGTCATTCGATGATTTTCGCCACTTAAAAAAAACCTTAAAAACTTATATTAATTGCGTTACTAAAGTAAAATACAGGAAGAACGCATCAAAAACACAAAGCTTTTATTTAAGTCCCTTCAAAAAATATGACATAAAAGAATTATCCAATCAACGATAACAATCAGAGGATGGCACGCAACACGAACATTCTCTTTTGACCAGAACGAAAAAGGAATAATAGTAAAAAGTTCGGTAGCGAATCCTGTCGATGTTAACCCCAAAATGATGTTATCAAAAGGTGGTAATATGAGTAATGATCCATGTAATCGTTTAGGCGTCACGACAAATCGTCAGATCACGTGATCCAATGTCATTTATTTCGTTACAAATCACCAATCAACACTGACCTCTCTATCCTTCACCCTCCTCTTCATAATCTTCCTAAATGATAGTTCAACGTATATTGGACGACCGTCTATAGAACTTAATATAGCGTGGGTGTAACAGTATTATTGGTTAACAATTTTCAACTCTGTTGCATCTGGATATGATTTAGATTAGTCTGCAATATGTTAATTGAAGGGCGTTGCATTTCCTTTTGTGTCGGTATTAATTGCTTACTGTTATTTATTAGGCTGTTGCTTATATCTCAATTTGGATACGATTTCTATTATTATTATTAATGGTTCGGCTAATTATACTACCTTCGCTTTGGCTGTCTTTAGGAAGTTGGGTTCAGCTGTATTTGCTTATTTATTTATCTCAATGAAAGAATGCTGCATACACTAATTGAGGACTTAATCCCTGTAATGAATGATACATTTTATGAGTAGGTATAAATAGCAGAAACTGTAGGATTTCGGAACGTTTTGTGTATATTTTTAATGATATTAGTTCATCAAATTGCATCAATAGTCGTAATAACAGCAGCTACAAGATTTCTGGGCATCTAAGCACAATGTCTTTCTAAAATAACCAAAGTAATTAAAGTAACTCTAGAAACATGTTCTCCATGAACATGTACTTATTTTACTAAATAAATCATAATAAATATTTGACATAAGCATTTATTGACATGACATATGTAATTTCTCTAATAATTTCTTGTTTTATTATATAATTAACTGATTTGAACATTAACATCGTACCCAACTATTGTAAGCTCAATAGGCAGGACACAGCTGAGCTCAACCAAATTATGATAACAACGGTATTATGTATCGACCTGTGATCTACAATGAATAAATGAATTTTAATTTGAACTTTCCGTCACAACTGCAAAGATCAGTCACTTTTGGATACAATTGATTGTTTTATGGATCATCAACTGTACCAAACAAGAATGATTTTTAATACAAAAAACAATAATGAATGAGCAAGCAATAACAATATTTTACACAGTCCGACTACGTTTTGTTTTGTTATTTTTATGCATACCTCATTTCACAAGCGGTTTCACTGGACTGGGTTACTCTAAAGACAAGTCTATAATGACAGTATTAAAGAATATGTATGAAAAAAATCACGAGAATAGCGAAACCGATTTTGAGTATTGCTTTATCGTTGGCTTTGTTATTATGTATTAGAAAAAGGCAATAATGTAAAAAAAAATCATAAGGATATTAAGAATTTTTTTCAATACGTAACAAAGTTCGCGGGGTACACTAGTAACAATATATTATAACAACATAACATCACGCCTTTTATTCCTGAAGGGGTAGGCAGAGGTGCACATTATGCCACTGTATCTACAATGTAACACCCACTTTTCACTATTTATGCTATGAGTCCTATGTAATAGGGGGTGAGCCTATTGCCATATACCGGGCATAATTCCAGACTCCGTGCTACTACTGATTTTTTTTTGAACCCAGTAATACTTTGCCCGGCCCGGGAATTGAACCCGAGACCCCTTGCCCGGCAGTTGCACTTGCGACCACTCGGCCAAAGAGGCAGTAACAATATATTATTATGTCACGTCTTTTAACATTCAAGAGGTGATTTTTTTTATGTAACACTGAATATCCACCAGATCTGTTATGTGTTCTTTATGATGGAGAATGAACCTATTACAATATACAGGTCATCTCAGACTTTGTGCTATTGTTTAGATTTTTTTTATAGCATAATCCGGTTTAGAGCAGACGGATCACGTGATGGTAAGCAATTGGCGCCGTTCATGCACACTCAGAACACCAGAGGTGTTACAAATTCATTGATTGCTTCTCTGGGGTTTAGAATTTGATCATTGGAAATTGATGATGGAGGGGCTTTATCTTATGTCATAACAACTTTGTTATTTTTATAATAACTATCGTGAGACGTATGAAATTAACTAAAAATCGCAGGTTACTCACGTGAATAAACTGAAAAATGCTCTACTAGTTTCGGCCCACAGAGGGGCTCATAAGCAGCGTGCGCGGTCGCGGTGACGTCGCGAAGCCTACTTCATGGTAGAACTTTGTTATTTATTTCAAACAATAAACTGAAAATAGTGAAGAAACTATATATAATATTAAGGTTATATCCATGTTAAACAACACTCTTTCAGCCTACACAAATGTGACGCAAACCAGAACAAAACTGCACAGAATCTCGTTAACTTTAATAATCACTTGAAAATGCTGTGGATTAAGCAGAAAATTTAAAGACACAACGGGATCCTTGCCAAGGCCCAAGTGGTCCTTCTGATACTCCAAACGTCTTTGTATAGAGCTGTTGGAAACGGCACAGTAGTGTATTAAGTTTATCGTTTTATTTAACCTACTTACACTAGAATTTACTTGGAGTAAGAATTTACTTTTTAAAACAATTGTCTTTTGGCTTTGGGATTGAAGTAATAATATGGGAGATGGTTTTTGTAAAAGCTGTCGTAGGAAATAGGGATACTTATATATTTATCTATACGGATAAATGGAATTGGAGTGTCTGTTTGTAAGATTAAAATAACCGCTTTTTACTATATACAATATGAATATACATACGATATTAGTGCTAAAATAATATTTTTTTAGACGTTTTGTCTGTCTGTTTGTACTGGCTAATCTCTGGAATAGAGGGACCGATTTTGTCGAGACTTTTATTGTAGGTAGGTAATGTAATAAGAACTACTTTTATTTTAGAAAATTGAATGAAAAAAAAAGTTATCTTAAATTCATATTCTACGGCAGACGAAGTCGCGGGCTACAGCTAGTTTACAACAACAACAGCCTAAAAAAGCCCACTGCTGAGGAAAGCCTCTTCTCACACGGACAAGGTTTGAACATTAATCACTATGCTTGCTGAATGCGGGTTGGCGATTACAAACTTATAATTAGAAATTGTAAGTCCAGGTTTCCTCACGATGTTTTCCTTCACCGTTTGTCAGTGGTGTCTAGATAATCTTACATTCAATAGCTAGTTTACAATATATGCCAATCTGGAAGTCTCTGGGAGAGGCCTATGTTCAGCAGTGTACGTTTTGTTGCCGATATGGTTATGAGGATGACGTAATTATCTGTGATGTCATCTAATAGTCTCATTGTTTATTAAACAGATTTTTTTTAATCATTTTATATCCGAATTCTTCTTCATTAAAAAATAAATGAAATAATTTTTCCATTGCAATAAAAATAAAATCAAGTTCGGACTACCTAACCCTATATAGAGGTACAGTGGTAGCTCCATCCGAGTGCTACCAAACCAGCACTTCAATTCCCATTTCTTCATTTTTCTTTTCAGTCAACGATTATGAAATAACAAACGTTCTAAATACAACGGATTTTTCCATCAGATTTTTTAATTAGGCAATAATAAGCCCTAATGTAAACAAGATAATAAGCAAGTTGGTCTAACAAAAAGAGAAATATGGAAAAGTTGCACCGTTTGCTAACGAGGAAAAGAAATGGAAATTATTTTTAACTTCACCGTCTCAATTAAAATTGTTTTCGAACAGTTTCAGGAAATATTAATTAGTAAAGTAAGTTTTTAAGTTGGAAATTTTTTCTCTGAGATTTTTCTGGTATCGGGGAACGTGATTGTGTTTCGAGAAGTTTCGATGGAAGCACCGTTTGTAGGTTTAGTTTCTTTTTCAATATTGATTCGTTATTTTGATGAGAATTGTATCCTGAATTTGATCCCTGTTCAAACAAAATATTATTGTGATTTCCAGTACCTACTGGACTAACACTCATTCTGACTTGTGGTACTGAGAAAAAATAAATTGGTCATCTTTTTCTGTACTCATAGGTACTTTCAGACAGGTCGACAAGGTTTTGACTTACTTGACTTACCACAAGGTCTACCATTTTATTAAACAACTAGCTGTTACCCGCGACCTCGTTCGCGTGAAATTATTCATATTTCTTGTTAATTTATACTTTTTGACGCGACAACGTGTTGGCGAGGCGTATTTGAGAGCTGGTATGAAACGGAACGTTTATTGTCTACTGTTGTCTGTCAGTGTCATTAAAATGAATTAATAAAACGAAATAGTCTCCGTAATCCGAATTTTGCGGATGTGTTGTCGACTCGAAATAAATATTTTTTATGTGTTGTTATTCAGGTAATGTTTCGATCGAGTCTACCGTACCCCTTGACGAAAGTATTAATATAGAAATGAAAGATAAACCATACTTAAACTTACCACCCATTGCTTATCTATAGTTTAAACCAACTCTAACAAAATCAATGAACA